GTTCAAGTCCAGTCTGAGTAACTTAATGAAACCCTGTCTCAAAATAGAAAGGACTAGGAATGTAGCTCAGTGCTTGGCTACCATGAAGACCTGGGTTCAAGCCCCAGTAACCCACACATACACACACACACACATACAAAAAAAAAAACTGATTATAATGGAGTTGAAAATGTCTTATCATTTAATTATGTTATAGCAGTTATAATATCAAGTGCAATACATTCCTCATGTGTATGGTAACCTGGTTGCTAATGGTCTCTTGGTTTTGTGTCTCTAGAGAACCCTGACTAATACACTGGGAGGAATTATTTACAAATTATATATCCAACATAGGAACTATGTCTAAAACATTCCAAAAAATTCGCAACTCAATAATAAAAAAAGTTCAACAGCTCCATTAGAAAATGGGCAAAATGTTTGAATAAACACTTCACCAAAAAGACATAAATGTCTAATAAGCACATGAAAAACTATTCAACATTACTACTGCAGTTCATTTTACATGAATCATAATTCCAAAAACAGCTATAAAATTTAAAACTAACTGGTTTCCTTTGGAGATTATTAGGGCATCAATTCATTATTATAAAGATACATAGAAAAAGAGAATCAAGCAGTTATTTATTCAGTCTTTTCTCTGTGAATTGTGTTTTAGAAGAACTAAGTACTTAAAACTAAACAGAGAAAGGATTTTTTTTTCAAACAGTCATAAGAATAGAAGGAATAATAGAACAAAAATTATCATTGTATAATCCTCAATAAAAATAGTAGATCTACACATTGGTTGTTGAAATAATTAGGTTAGAGCTAATGAGGAATTCTCTAATGGAAATTAGGCTGATCACAATCTAATATTAACAATCAAAACTAACATCACAAAATGAAACACAACTATACATTATGTACTTTCTGTTGTGGTGCAATAGTATACAGTACCCTCTGGAATAGGTATTTTTCAAATAAATAAATGTGAATATTATATAGATCTAACTGCCATAGGAGATTTAAGAACATGTTAAAGGACATCTTAAGACTGCAATTAGTGGCACTAGGGTTGGACTCAGCAGTACAGTACTCGCCTACCACATGCAAGGTGCTGGGTCTGATCCTCAGCACTATAAAAATAAATAAATAAATAAATAAATAAATAAATAAATAAATAAATAAATAAATAAATAAATAAATAAATGTGCTGTGTCCAACTACAACTAAAAAATTTAGGAACTAGGTGCTGTGGTGCATGCCTATAATCCTAGCAGCTCAGGAGGCTGAGACAGGAAGATCTTGAGTTCAAAGACAGCCCCAGCAAAAATCGAGTCACTAAGCAACTCAGTGAAAACCTGTCTCAAAATAAAATACAAAATAGGGCTGAGGATGTGGCTCAGAGGTTTAATGCCCCTGAGTTCAATCCCCAGTACCCTCCCTCCCCGCCCCAGGCAATATGCAATTAGGCAGATTTGTCATATAAATGTTTTAATAGACTGTGGGATGAAAGAGAATTAATAGAGATTAAAAGAAATTTTAAAAATACATTGGTCAAATTCAAAGTATGTATCTTGTTTGGATCTTAATTTAAACATACCTTTCAGAGACAGTTGTAGAAACTTGAACGTAGACTAGGTATTAGATGAGGCTAAGCAATTACTGTTGTTCTTGTTAGGTGCAGTAATCATACTGTGGTTACCTGTCAGGCAAACCTAATGCAGTTTTAGTAAAATAAATTAAACTCTCTCTGGGATTTTCAGGGGTAGAGGCGAATATCATGAGGGAATTGAGGAAACAATTCTTTATGAAGAGATGGATGTGTGCTATTTCTCTACTTTTGTATATGTTTGAAATATTCTACAATAGAGAATTGAACTTTGGTTTTGTTTTATTTTTGTTGTTGTTGTTGTTGTTGAATTTTAAATGGGCCTGTGCATACAGATCACAGCCCTTTGGCTGTGTTTTGACCGACTGAAAATTCCACAGGAGTATTCCCTCCCTTTATCAATGCATAAGCCCCACACTCAATAACTGAAGGGTGCAAATGAGTGAGATGAGTCCGGGGTGAATCATGGCAGCTGTCCCCCGCACCTCTCTGCTAGAGATTAATGGAAGGAGACAGGGACAGTGGCAAACCAGAGAAGACATAAACCTCCAAGAGGGGGCAGCCCATGTTGCCAGGGAGGAATAAAGCCCCAGATAAGCAGTCATCTTCTGATATTCTTTTTCATTAGAAAGTAGAAATATGGACAGTCCTCTGAAATTATCTTGTTGTAGGGACAAACGAGGCAAGGCACGAAAGACAGCAGGAAACAGTTTTATTTGGCTGCAGCCAGGTTCAGAGGGCACAGCTTTTGCTGTAATCAATTAATCCCCTGAACCCCAAGTTCAGGGAGTTTCAGAGTTTTCTACCCAGCATGTAAGGGGAGGGGCTCAGAAATTCAGTCTGCAGAAGTTCACATAAAAGCAGCTTTTTCTTTCACTGTTCTGGGCAAGCTAACTCTTCAAGGACAACACCTGAGAAGGGGAGAGCTGCTTCTTCCCTTTCTTTCCTCCCCCTGCCAGCTATTACCAAGGAGCCCATTTGTAACTTATCTTAAAAATTTAGACATTTCTGTGAAGCCCAGCTCAAGGCCAGAGGCCTTGTTTGCACATTTCTTCTATACTATACTGGATATGTTTGTGAAAAACTAGTAAGGGGATATCCAGCACCTGGAGTGCTGGTATCTTCCCGGCCAGTGGCCAAGTAAAACAGGGCAACACGAAAATAGGAAGTTTATTTACATTGGATTCTTTGGCAGAGACTCTTTTGCTGACAGTCCTAAAATCAGCCATGGTGAAGAGGGCTTTTCTGTGGAGAAAGGGGGGTGCCACTTCAATCCATTTTCATGAATTATTGCTAAATATGCAAATGATTCTTTTTAATGGAAACATTTTGCAGTTCAGTTTTGCTAGCAAACCCACCAAAACCTGTCTGTAGGCTAGATTTGTGTCACAGACTGTTGTTTTGTGATCCCTGACACCACGCCTTGTAACACATTACACAATAATGCATTAATAATTGGTTGACTTCTCCAGCAGTTGGGTCACAATGCTGGCACAACTAAGGCTGTACACGTCTGAAATCCTCCAATTTTTTTTTTATATACAAACAGCTGTCAAGCCAGGCATCTCCACACACCGCACTTTGAATGGAACATAGACTTAGAGTGATCTGTATTAAATTGCATCTTGTCATTTGTCAAAAAACATTTATCACTGGATTGGTTCCACTCTTCCTCCAAATTCTACTGAATCTTCTGAGGCTATCCAAATTCATGTCAACCTTCCTTTCCAGTTTGTGTACCTCATCGTTAGCTATCTTCCTCCTTGAAGCCATCATACATTATACCCAGTAGTCTATTGTCAATAGTAATGACATAGTATTTTGTAGTTTAGAAACTATTATCCCATATTTTTCTGATTTGATTTTTGTTACCCACTGAAACCTTCTAAAAGTCCTGTCAACATTATTCTAAGGCTTTGAGCTACAGCCAGGGGCAGTAGCACACCCCTATAATCACAGCAACTCAGGAGGCAGAGGCGGAAGGATCACAAGTTCCAGGCCAGTCTCAGCAACTTAGCCAGACCCTGCCTCAAAATAAAAAATAAAAATAAAAAGTGCTGAGGAAGTAGCTCGATGGTAGAGCACCCAAGTTCAGTACTTCTGTATCTAAAAGAAAAAAAGAAATTGACTTTGTACTACAAATCTGCCAAGTCTGTTTGTTGCCCACCAATGATGTCCTAGTGTGGATTTCTAGATTAAACAACTAGTTTCCTTCCTTTCCACCCCACCAGAAAAAAAGAGTCCCTAAAGTCACCATCTGGGCAGTAATCAGTAGGGACAGAAACAATATGTATGAAGAAGGTTCTAACTAGAAGAGTTGTCAGAAAATGGAAAGGATTGTCTTGAGAGGAAATTTTAAAGCTAGAAATTTTCAAATAACAGTTGGGGTTTTGAACAAGGGGTTCCTGTATAGTCAGGAAGCTGGATACAATGATCTTTCACTCATTTATGGTTGCCCTTCTAGGGAATCTGCTCTGGGCTCAGCTCTCAGAACCCACCAGCTCCTCCTGGTCAGTGAGTAACCTCTGAAATTCAGACACGTGCAGTAGGTCACTCTTATGCTTTGTACTTTTTAAAATTAATTCCCTCTGGAAAAGAAGTTTTCAGCGAAAATGCCAGCCTTTTCTCCTCTGTATGAAAATAATCTATACATGGAATATTATTCTGTCATAAAAAGAAATGAGCCCGTTGGGTGATACCAGTAGCATTCAGTATTCCCGGCTGCTTGGAAGTCTGAGGCAGGAGGATCACTTGATCTTAGTAATTCCAGACTAGCCTAGGCAACAGGAGACCCATCTCAAAAAAAAAAAAAAAAAAAAAAAAAAAAAAAAAAAAAAAAAAAAAAAAAAGAAAGAAAGAAAGAAAAGAAAATAAGTAGTGATGTATAGTACAACATGGATGAATCTCGAAAACCTTATGGCAAATGGAAGGGGAAAAAAAAAAACACACAAAGGCCACATGCTGGATGATTCCATTCCTATAGAAGCGCAGAAGTAGGAACTCCATAGAGTCAGGAAGTAGATTCGTGATGTGAGGTGGGGAGATTATGTGACCCGCAGGGGTACAGCTAAAGGAATAAAGGGTTTCTTCCCCAAGTGATGGAATTACTCAACAACTGACTGCGGAGCTGGTTGCAAAAACCTATAAATATACTAAAAGTAATTGAGTCTTACGCTTTAAGTGGGTAAATTATATGGCATGCGATTTATATTATAATAAAGTTTTCAAGAAGAAAATGAGCACCTTTTTTAATGGATACAGGTTCTATTTATTTCCAAGCCTGAGCTGGATCTCTACTGGGGGGCTCGCGCTACCCTGCAGAGGACGAGTCCCCGGCTGAAGGCGGAGGCTCTGCGCCCCAGGATGAGGTGAGGTGGGCGGACTTGCTCGCAGCACCGCGGCCGCCTCCGGAACCGGGGCTGGGGGGGCGAGGGCCACCGACGGCTGGGATGGGCGCCGAGGAAGCCGACGAGAGCGCCACCCTCCATCCCCTTCTTAGAGCTTTCTGGGCCCTGCATGTCTCCACTCTGGGTTATACATCCATCCCGGAAATTAACGACTCGCGCTTCGTAAGAGCAGCTGAACAACCGCCCTTTCCAGAGGACACGTCCACGAGGCTCCCGTCCACGAGGCTCCCGCCCCGCTCGAGCTGAACACGTTCCGGCTCTGCCCACCCCTCGACACAGTGCCCCCGCGCCTCACAGCAGCCTGAGGAGTGTCCAGCTGGCCCCAACCCCAGCTGGCCACGGGCGCGGGGAGTCTGTCCCCGGAGAAAACTCCTGAACCGGATTTGGGGCCTGCCACTCGAATAGCCCTAGAAAACGTCTCCTCTCTAGACCACTAGCTAGCGCCACCATTTCAGAGTGACAGCGCGGGGAGGGGGGAGAGGAAACGCCCCGGGCACTTTTCTCAAACTGCAAAGCTACCGCGAGAGGGCGGGGCGCCCGCGACGGGGAAGAGGACCCGGGGGCCGGGGGTCTGCGCGAGCCCAAGGACGGGGCAGTAAGAAGGTGGTTACTGCTAGTTAAAAGTCAGGGGAGCAGATCGTCCCGGCTCCGCTGGTGCGCCTCGGGCCGCCACGCCAGGAGTGTGGCCTGGCTGCACCCGCCCCAGGACGAGCGTCGCGGCTGAGACCCCAGGCTTCATTCCCGGCGCCGGGAGGTAGGGCTCACCCTGCAGAGAGGAGCACCGGGGCATCCGATCCCTACGCCTCGAAAGCGTGATCGCCACCGGGTAGCGCCCAAGCACCTCCGGGCCGCATCCCCCCCGGACAGAATGACCTTAAAGACCCGCCGAAAAATAACTAGATGGGGGCAGATAGATAGACGGCTGGGTTCGAGAGTTGCATGTTGCAAACCGATCGTGAAACAGGTATAAGATTCCACTGCGCTATGCTTCCTGCTAGCGGCCGAGCGCGACTTGAGGCAGAGTAGTTACGAGACAGGAACTGAGAAGACTAAAGTCTTTCGGCAAGAAGATTAAATGAATCTCCCGGATATCTAAAAAAAGGGCCGTGCTCCAGGTGAGGCTCGAACTCACAACCTCGGCATCGCTCTGCATGTACTGCTGTATAAGTACCGCGCGCTAACCGATTGCGCCACTGGAGCTCCGCTTAGCCGCCCTCGCGATAGCTCTATCAGGGTTCACTCGGCCGGGTGCGAGCTTCCGCGGAGCATGCGCGTCTGCCACTCGCGGCTTCTAGCTCGGACCCGGTCCTTTGCAACTTCCGGCTGGGCATACACATACTGCCTGGCTACTCCGAGGCCAGCAAGCTGGAAAATCCTACGAGTGTTCCCCTCGGGGCTGGAGGGCGGGTTAACATGGCCGAACTGGGGCCTTGCGAAGGGCGCAGGCCGCGTCCCGGGCAGCGCCGTGAGAGAGGCGGCCTGGTCCCTGCGGCCATAAGCCAACACCGCCTTCTCGGCGGGGCTTTCACCTCCTAGGAGAGGGCTGCGAGGGGCAGGACCCAGCACAGGGAGCCGGCAGGCTGGCCTCGCGGCTGTGATGACGCGAGACGAGGGGCGGGGCCGGGACGCGGGGCCTAGGCTCGGAGACTCTAGACATCCCGCGGCCGCCGCTCGCTGCCCGGCGACCCCAGCCGAGAAGTGCGCTGGAAGGCGCGAACGACTTCCCGCGGGGTGCGGGCGGCCAGGTGGCATGCTGGAGCCCGGAAATCTTTGGACGTTTGTGTCCGAGTTGCTCGAGGGCGGCCTCTGCCGGCGGCGCGCGCGCGGGCCGGAAGGTTGGGCTGCTGGGGGCGGCGACCGACCTTCCAGACCTGGCGCCGCAGGGCCCCAGCGTGGGGCCTTGCCACACCCGCCAGGAGTTCTGGGGCTCCTCCTGCAACCCTAGCGAGGGCTTGGGCACCCCGGGCAGAAGGCTTGTCCCCGAAGAGGAGTCGCGCCACTTGAAATCCGAGGACACGAAGATCGCCCTTGATCTTGGAGAGGTTTCCCTCAACCCTACGTGTTTTATTGAGCCACAGAATGTTAATTTTTGTTCTCCTAACTTTAAAACCAACTTTTAAAATTATCTGAAACCTGGAGCTCTAATTTAAATATCCAAAGATCCATTAAAAAAAAGTTTAAACACTGTACCCAGGTCTGAATATGACTATTCTGGGCCATACTTTTTGTCCTTGTGGACCCCTTTCCTTCATTTTAAACAATAATGTTTCGGCCAGGCACGATGCCCCCCCTCCCCCGACTGTAATCCCTATTATTGGGAGGCTGAAACAGGAGGATCGCAAATTTCTGGTCAGCCTCTGCAATTTAGTGACTCTCTTAGAAAATATATATATATATTTTTTTTTTAATTTAAAAAGTCTGGGGATGTAATTCAGTGGCAAAGCGTACCTGCATTCAATCCCCAATACCAAAAAAAAAAAAAAAATGGGGAGAGAGAGAAAGGGAAAGAGAACTTCTTTTAAAAGTATACTTTACAAATGCGATGGCATAAAGATTAATCCTGAAAGGACAGTGACCACAACACTTGGAGCGACCAAGAGATCTTTATTGCACGCAGTGCAAAAGAGGAGAAAAGAGAGAGAAAGAAAGAGGTGGGGAGAGCAAAGAGAGAGAGAGAAGAGGAGAGGAGTGAAAGGGAGAGTGAAAGCAAGAGAAGACAGAGAGAGCAAGAGCAAGAGAGAGGGGAATGGCAGGAGGGAGTTTTTTATAGCCCAAATCTAATGGGGTCTCTGGGTCTGCAAACTGCCTTGTTGGCATACAGTGATTGGCTCATACAGTAGTGTCATCTTCTGCCTTCAGGCAGAGGGGGCAGGGGCTAGATGTGGGTTCCTGTTGCACTAGACAGTGGGGGTCGAATGTTCAGACTTGATGCAAACAGGTGATAAAGGACAGACAGATTGGGGTTTGAGTGCGTGGGTTATCCTGCAGCTATTCAGCCTGCCCTGCACCTAACAAACCCAGGCTGGATTTATATTATTTTATTCACATATGTTCATTATTTCTAATCATTTTCAAAAACTAAAATTTGAGCATTTTTGTTGCCCCTAGGCACTCTGCACACTACCTAATTGATAACTCCGCTGGGAATCTGCATCCTCCTGGGGGTATAGTAGCAGCACCTCCACAATCTGCCCACTGGCCCCTCTGTTTATTCCTTCAGGCTTGACCCACTCATTTTGTTTGTGCCTGGATATTGGTTACCTTTTTTGGTGACCTCTGCCCTCCCAGAAAAGCAAACAACAGGATGATCTTGGCACTTGGTGAAAATAACCAGCATGCAACAAGCCATAGGAGCAGAATTGAGGTCATAGGTATAGTGACCTTGATGGTGACTTGCCCACAATAACAGGTTATTTTAGGGTGAAAAATAGCAGGCAGTAGTTTGATACTAGAGTATAGAAGGTCTTGAAATTCAAGCAGAAGAGATAACAAATGGTCAGGTTGACAAGGAAGCAGCAATAGATTCTGTATAGAGCAGGGGCCTTCTGAATCTTTTCGTAGAAAGCTCAGAGCCAGGTGCAGACTGGATTATTCACCTAGAGAAAGGAGCCTTTTCCCTGGTGAGGGAGCCTACACCTGTAATCCCAGCGGTTTGGGAGGCTAAAACAAGAAGGATCAAGAGTTCAAGGCAGCCTCAGCAGCAATGAGGCTTAGCAACTCAGTGAGACCCCAAGAAGCTGGGCATGGTAATGGCACACAGCTATAATCCCAATGACTGAGGCTAAAACTGGAAGATTGCAAGTTCAAGGCCGCCTCAGCAATTTAGCTAGGCCCTAAGCAACTCAGCAAGACCTTATTTCTAAGTAAAATACAAAATAGGGCTGGGGATGTGGCTCAGTAGTCAAGTGCCCCTGAATTCAATCCCTGGTACTCCCCCTAAAAGAGCAGCTCAGAAAGGGAGTGGCTGATACCCTGCAAGGCTCCAGGCAGGTGGTGGGCTGCAGAGTTGTTTACAGCATGCCAGGGTTAGGGCTTCTTTGAGAATGTGTGGACAAATCCAGGATAAATCAAGGGCAGCTGAGAGTGATCCCTTGAAATAAATCCCTCCCCCCAAAGTTGGAACAGGCTGAAAAGGCAAATGCATGACTTGCTACAGGGTAGGGATAATTTCCACCCCCCCTAAATTGAAAGGGCTTAATTTTCCTGGTAAACAAGAAAATAAGGTGTGGACTCATTCTCTGCATCTTCTGAAATCCCAATAGCATTTGCAGAATCTGTCCTTCCTCCCTTCTGAGTCTCTGAGGCAGAGCCCACCTGGTAAACCAAGAGCGGCAGAGTTGGCCACTGGCAATCCAGTTCCCTCTCTTCTGCCCCACCTTTCATGGATCCAATCCTTTACTAGTTTAGAAGATAGTGATGGATCCTGACTGTGTGCGATGGGAAGTGAGCACCTCATAAAAGGAAATAAATAGCTTAGCCCCAAGGAAATTGAGGGTCCTAAGGAAGGAACCTAGAAAGGGTAATGTTGAGAAAGGGACAGAGTCTGAGACAAAAGGAGAAGCCTCTTGAGACCTCCAAATCACTTACCTGCACCCAGACTGCCTCTGAAGAACAATGAGCTAGGAGTCTTAGTTGTGATCTTCTTTGGTCATAGAGATCTTAAATAATTCTCATTCCCTCCGGGACTCATTTCCTCATCTCTAAATTGAGGAATATATAAGGAAAGCCTGATTGGTTTCAAGGTTGACAATGTGCGATATGAAAACATTTTGCCACTTTTTCCACCAAAAGAAAGTTAAGAGGTCTCTTGGCCTTTCTGTTTGATTTATGTTTCAGGGGTAATTTGTGTTAACTGATATACAGATAGATCAGCAAACAATATATAAGAACTTTGTAGAAGGATTCTTTTAAAAAGAGGCAAAAATCAACTTCAGAAATAAAACACTTTAAGATTTGTCAAGAGGCCAGCCCCACCTGAGCTAAGGCTCCGCCTCTTGTCCTTCAAGTTAGGATGGCTCCAAAGTAGGCTGGAATTAAGCTTATTTAAAGTTGTATTCAAAAGATAGATTTTTTGTTGTTGTTGTTGTAAAGATTACTTGATCTCAAATAGGGGATTTAATACAAAACTTAAGTACAGGCTTGAGTAAATTATAAAAGGTGTTTAGGTTTATAAAAGTGTTTTAAAAGAAAGTAAAACTTGTAAAGAATTTCATATGTAACTGAGTTGATAAGTATATGGGTCTTTGTAGAGGCCTAAATAGATATCATAAATAAATGGAAGAACCTAGACTAAATAAGTCCATTTTGACTGGAAAACTCTTTTTACCATGTAACTCTTACCATCACCATTAAATTATTTTAATCATTTAATAAAATTGTGTAAGATACATATTAAAGGAGTGGTTTTTTAATACAATCAAGCTTAGTTTAGATCCATGCGTAATTTTAAAACAGTAATGCCTATAGAATAAAAAGACTAGTATCAACACTTTCCCATTTACCAAGTAATGCAAAATGTTTTAATTTAATTATGTAAGAAGAAGGCATGTTTGTTAACAAAAAAACTTTTAAAATACTTGTCATATTTGGTATTGGAACAAATGTACTATATATTAAAATGTATGAAACTTAATGACTCATTATAACATCAGAAATAGACAAAAACTGCTTTCCTAAGTGAGTGTTTGAAATTTATGCCTTTTGCACTTTAAAAAAAAAAGTGGTATATTTTTATTACTTTCATGTTTTCATGTC